AGAAGCAACAGGAAAAAGTATAAACGGATTAAAGAAATGTCTGATGCTAAATGAAATAAAGGGAGTGGTGGCCTCAGAGCAAGACCCCACCCAGCTAAGCTTCCAACTTGTGAAAAGGAATCAAAGAAAAGCTTAGGGCCAGGGGCGGTTGTAGTGGGTAGCTGTTCCAGCTTTGACCTGGAAGTACTACCCCCAGTGAGGCTTTGGGTAACTGTCACGACTACCTATGACCTGCCCCTGAGGCGGGGCCAAGATGGAAGTCCTTAAGACCCAAGATCTGGAGGTGCCAGCTCTCTTGGTTCCTGGTGATCCTGGATGCTTGATGGTAGTAGACCAATCAGAGTTCTCCAGAGAACCCAGCTGGACTGCACCTCACCTCTCCCAGATCCTGTAACCAATCTCTTTACTAGCTGTAAGTTACCCCCCAAAATAAACCTCCTTTTTAACTACATGGAGTTAAAATAAATCCCACAATCCATGGTGGTACACACCTCTAATCCCAGTACATGGAAGGAAGAGGCTGGCCATCCTCATTTACCGAGTGAGTTCCAGGACAGCCAAGCTCAAGCAGTTAAGGAAACCACTGAAAACAGAAAACTGTTGAAAATGTATTTGAACAGGGGGGCATGTTCCAGTTCCAGCAAACAGTGGAACCTGGGAGTTTTGGCCACATGGTTCTGGCTTTAGAGTCAAGAACAGAAGAAAGGGGATGTGAAATATGCCTCTGTGACTAAGAAAAGACACTGAGGTCAGAAAAGTGTCATGGGTGTCCCTGAATGGAAGCCTAGAGAGGCCATTGCATAAAGCTGTGAAGTTGAAGCCTGGATTGTCTTGGAGACCCCAAGATGCCAGAGCCATCAGATACCTGTCAAGGAGAGCTGCTGACAGGGAGTGGAACCACCCAAGAGAGAGAAGTGTGCTGCAGTCAACAAAGCTGAAAGGAGTTGGAGATCTGAAGAGCACTTTGATATCAGACATGGAGCTGCAGAGTTTGGAGTTTGCCCAGCTGGTTTTCAGTATTGCTTTGGACCAGTATTTCCTCATTATGTTCCCTGTCCTCCATTTTGGAATGGTAATGTATATCCTGTGCCATTATATGTTAGTATGTGATCTTTTTCATTTTTATTTTACAGGGGTTACAGTTAAGAAAGTGCATGAATCTCAGAACAGACTTTGGACTTTTAAACATTGTTGAGACTGTGATAGGCTATGAGGACTTTTGAAGTTTGACTAAATGCAGTTTTGCATTATGATATGGCTACAAGTCTACAGGGGCCAGAGAGTGGAATATGGTGGTTTGAATGAAAATGTCCCCATCGGCTCATAGGGAGTTGCACTATTGGGAGGTATGGCCTTATGGAGTAGGTGTGTTCTTATTGGAGAAAGTGTGTCATTGTGGAGGTTATCTTTGAGGTCTCTTACATGCTCAAGCTATGACCAGTGTGGAGCACAGTCTCCTTCTGCTGCCTGTAGATCAAAATGTAGAACTCAAGATACCGCCCAGTGTTTTAGACTGCTTCCTATTGCGTACAGGTCAAGATGTAGGAATCTCAGCTCCATCTCCAGCACTATGTTTGCCTACACTCCACCATGTTGTACCATGATGATACTGGACTAAACTTCTAAAAACATAAGCCACCCCAATTAAATGTTTTTCCTTTATAAGAGTTGCTGTGGCCATGGTGTCTCTTCACAGCAATAGAAATCCTAATTAAAACAGCATTGTTAGAGGAAGTATGTCACTCTCTCTTCCTGCTGCCTGCTGACCCAGATGTGTAACTCTCAGCTCCCTCTCCAGTACCATGTCTGCCCGTGTGCCACCATGCTCCCTGCCATGATGACAATGAACTAAACTTCTGAACTGTAAGCCAGCCCCAATTTATTGTTTTTCTTTATAAGAGTTGCCAAGAGGCTCTTCACAGCAATAGAAACCCTAAGACACTATTATACTTTAGTTAATATAAACAATATGGCTTCCTATGGACTTTTCAAACATCCTTAGTGTTATTTACCCTTTCTCCCTCCATCTTCTTACTCTGTTTTCCTCCTTTCTCATTCCCAATTATAGCTCCCCATTTTTGCCATTTCCCCCTTTACATCACCTGTATGATGTTATTATGCTTTCTAGAGTTTCTTTTTCACATGCCCATAATAGGGCATACACTTTTCTGGATTCTCTAGATTATATTCTCACATCAAAATATTCAGAGCTAGGGTCAACAGATAAGAGAGAACATGTGTTTGTCTTTCTGGGTCTGGGTTACCTCACTCAGGATATTTTTTAACTCCATCTATTTACCTGCAAAGTTCATGATTTTTGTCTTTTTGAAAAAATAGAATTTTAAGTAGCTAAATAGTATTCCATTCTGTATTTGTACCACATTTTCTTTGTCTATATATTAGTTGGAGGACAGTTAGATTATTTCCATTTCCTAGTTATTGTGGATAGAGCAGCAATGAACAGGGCTGGGCAAGTGTCTGTGGAGAAGTATGTCAAGTCCCTTGGGCATTTGGTAAGGTGTGGTGTAGCTGGGTCATATGGAAGACTTATTTTTATCTTTCCAAGAATTCTCCACACTGATTTCCAGAGTACTGCACCAGCTTGCAATTGCACCAACATTGATGTACTTTTTTTTTCTTTTACTTCTTTCAAGAAGTTCTTTGCCTTCCCACTACTTTCCGCCATTGGTGAAGAAAAGCAGAAACATGTAAAAGTGATTCCTTGTTCTTCATATGACCTACATGGAACTCCCTTTAGCTGCTTCATGGAGGTCTGGCTCTTTGTCATATACTGACCAGTTTGAAGACGAGATTCTCATCAGTCAGCAATGGTTTAAAATGACTAATACTGTGTCTGAAGAACACTGTTAGAGACTCCGCCTCGTTGAAACCACCCTCCTGATCTGGATTCAGACTCCTTCATGTCAACTTCTTGTCGACTTTATGGACTTAATCATGCAGAGCTTCTGAGTTATCTGGAGGCATCTGCACCTGTACTGAGCCCCAGAACTCTCTCCAGGGGGAGGAAACATCATCTGTCTATTCTGACTAATATGTCAACCACCAACTATCATGGTTGCTGGGCTCTTGAAATGTGAGTAGTGACTGGGACTAGAGAAGGCTCATGGGTTAGGAATATAGGATGCTCTTCCAGAGGACCTGGGTTCCACACCCAGTACTCACATGATGGCTTACAACCGTCTCTAAGACCAGTTTTAGGGGATCTCATGTCTTCTACAGGTCTTTGCAAGAACTGAATGTTTCACAGACATGCAAGCAGGTAGAACACACATACACACAAACACAAGGGCATTACATTTAAAAAAATGTTTATAGTGAAATGAGGCCATGGATTCTATTGCCTTCAGTGTTAATTGATTTAAATTGTGTCTAAGGGTTTCTATTGCTGTAATGAAAACTATGACCACAGAGCAACTTGGGGAGGAAAGGGTTTATTTGGGTTATACTTCAGCATTGCTGTTTATCACTGAAGGAAGTCAGGACAGGAACTTCAAACAGGGCAGGATCCCAGAAGCAGGAGCTGATGTAGAGGCCCTGGAGAGAAGCCACTTACTGGCTTGCTTCCCCTGGCCCACTCAGCCCATCTTACAGAACCCAGGTCCACCTGCCCAGGGATGGCATCCCCCACTATGGCCTGGGCTGTTCCTCAATGATTACTAAATAAGAAAATACCTTACAGCTGGATCTTATTGAGGCATTTCCTCAACTGAGGCTCCTTCCTCTCTGATGACTCTAGCTTGTGTGAAGTTGACATGAAACCAGCCAGTACAACTGACCCCTTGTCAACTTGATACAGAAACACATCACTATTAAGCCTCAATCCTTCCTCTCTTAACCATCCCCAAGATCTCACATTAAGAACACAAATAACTTAAAAATCCCACAGTCTTTACAAATTCAGTCACATTAAAATTTTAGTAACCAATTTTTTAAAATTCAAGGTCTTTCAATATTCAAAGTCTCTCAGCTGTGGGCTCCAGTAAAATATGTTCTTCCTTCAAGAGGGAAACATCAGGGCACAGTCACAATCAAATCAAATGAAAACAAAATTCCAACTGCAATGTCTGGGATCTACCCTGGACTCCTCCAAAGGGCTTAGGTCACGTCTCTGGCTCTGCCCTCTGCAAGACACACAGCTTGTCTTCTAGGCTGTGACTGGCTCCTCTCCACTGCTGCTGCTGTTTTTGGCAGTCTTCCTATGATACTGGCATCTCCAAAACACTGGGGTCCCTTGTTGCAACTGGACTCCACTTTCATCAATAGCCTCTAGTAGGCTTTCCTCATGGTGTCAGGCCCCAACTTATTCAACTGCTGCTGAAGCTGCACCTTCACCAATGGCCTCTCCTGGCCTCCCACAGTGACAAGCCTCAGTTGCTCTCCATGACCCCTTCAGGCCTTCAAAACCAGTACCACCTGGGTGACTCTTACACATTACCATGTCTGGCTGCCAGCATGAGGTGCAACCTTGGCCACCTCTTGAACAAAACATTTTGTGCTCTCAGGAAACATTTCCCAGAAGATTTCACCAGGGATGCTGGTCTCTTCTTAATCACCACTAATTTCTTAGCTCCAGCTGACCAGCATCAATTGTCCCAGTAATATAAAGTTTTCACTTCAGTGGTTCTGGTATCTTGTTAGTCACAGCTAATTCTTCAGCCCCAGCTAACTAGAACCACAGGATCTTAATTCAAAATAACAAATGGCCTGATAGAGTCTTTAAAATTCCCTCTGAAACTTTGCATGCTGGGCCTCCATCTTCTGCACTTCTCTCATTATTCTTATCTTCCAAGTTCCCACAGAACATCTACTGAGGTCTCTCAACACTCAACGGCTCTTCTAGCTCAAAGTTCCAAAGACCTTCCACAATCCTCCCCCAAACATGGTCAGGTCTGTCACAGCAACACCCCACTACACTGGTATCAATTTGTCTAAGTCAAGGTTTCTATTGCTGTGACAAAACACCATGACCACAGAGCATGTTGGGGAGGAAAGGGTTTATTAGGCTTATACTTCAGCATTGTTGTTGGTCACTGAAGGAAGTCAGGACAAGAACTCCAAAAAGGGCAGGATCCCAGAAGCAGGAGCTGATGCAGAGGCCATGGAGAGGAACTGCTTACTGGCTTGCGTCCTCTGGCCCAATCAGCCACCTTCTTATAGAACCCAGCACCACCTGCCCAGGGATGACACCACCTACCATGGGCTTGACCCTCACTCAGTTATCACTAAATGAGAAAATACTTTATAGCTGGATGTCATTGAGGCATTTCTCATCAACTGAGGCTCCTTCCTCTCTGATGACTCTAGCTTGTGTCAAGTTGACAAACAAAATCAGCCAGTACAAATGGTCAGATGTGCCTGGTGGCTTCAAGTAGATAGCACAGGTTGGGATGTGACAGTGGGGTGCATTTAGGGGAGATTTTCAGGATGCCTAACCTTTCTTCAGGGTCCCTCCCACACTCCTTTTCACAAGGACAGTTCTGAGATGTGATTTGAAGCCAGGTGGTCCTTGAAGGTGGTCCTGGGTTTGATAATTTCCCCAGATGATGTTTCCAAACATCAGAGTGACCTGTCATAGCTGATGGAGTGTCATTGGCTCAGACCCACAACCTTAGAAGTTTCCTCAAATGAGGCCATGATCTCCATTCAAGAGAGAGTCCAACAGGTGAGACACAGGCCATCCTGCTTGATAGTTTCCTGTTTCTATCTAATTGTTCTCTAATACATAATTCATAACTTACATTTTTATGTGTGTGTGTGGTTTTTCAAGGCAGCATTTATCTATGTAGCCCTGGCTGTCCTGGAACTCATGCTGTAGACCAGATTGGCCTTGAACTCAGAGATTCACCTGTCTCTGCCTCCCAAATGCCAGGATTAAAGGTGTGCACCACCACCACCTGGCTTTCAGCACATAACTTAAATCCTTAAACAGGAGCAAAATATCATTCCAATTTATTATAAAGTGACAATTCAAACAAATCATTGCTTTATAGTACTGTGTTGTCTCTTCATTTTTTATACATGGGAACCTCAGGATATGGAGAAGACCCCATGGTTGCAGGTCTCCAGGTGAATAGACCAGAGCTCCCACTTTGTGTTTTTTCACAAGTCGAACAAACTACATTGTGCCTTTGTACCTGGGTACCTTTTGTACAGGACACACGGTGACTCTTTTCTTCACACAGCTGACTTATTTTCTTTAATACATCATTTTTGCTGTGACTAATCAGTCTCAGCTTTGGTGTGAAGATCAATGCAGAGCCTTGCAAATTGGATTGAGCCTTGGACAAAGTGAGTCAAACACAGTCAAAGGTTTGTGTTGGTGATAGAATGTCAGTAGTTCTGGCAATATAGGTCACAGTGATACATGTAAGGTGTCCACTGTAATAAGTACACAGACGAAGGTCCTTCTTTCTCACATAGGCTCTGAGGGTGTGGCATTCTCAGAGGATGATAAAAAAAGGTTTGTTTCTCCTCTTGTTATGGAAATGATAGATGTAGCCTCAGAGTCAGTGAGAAGCGATTTCCCACAGCTGTGAACAGAACCTTGCGTGGGAAGCACAATCTGATGGAAATGTGTGTTAAAGATTCAGAGCCATCATGAGCAAGCCCATGGCTTATAAGCCCAGGAAAGCGGATCCCTGACATCTCAGTGTGCCCACTATAGCTTACAAAGATTACAATAATGTTAAGATCTCCCATTTCCTCTAGACTGTGATCTTGCCACTCCTGTCTTTGTGTCTTTGACTGTGTCCCCTGGATGGCCCCTTCTAAAATTCCCCCACTCAGACCCTATTTAGTCATTTGCAGTAGTTACAGGGAGGGACCAAGAGTATCTGTCCTTTTTTGTTTTGTTTTGTTTGTTTGAGACAGGGTTTCTCTGTGGAGCTTTGCGCCTTTCCTAGAACTCGCTTTGTAGACCAGGCTGGCCTCGAACTCACAGAGATCCGCCTGCCTCTGCCTCCCGAGTGCTGGGATTAAAGGCGTGAGCCACCACCGCCCGGCAAATATCTGTTCTTATCTATCTGCAGCTGCACTGAGCATTGCTTCACTCTGCCCTGGGGGGCCATATTTTTGTGCCATGGAAGTTTCAGGTGGTTTTGGCTCTTTGCCATTGAGTCATTCCAGCCTTTAGGCATTCTTTTCTCGCTGCCCCCACCTTTTTTACATGTAAGTGATGCAGATGTCTGCTGTCTGCGTATGCATGTCTGCTTGTTTGTGCGAGCACCTGGATGCAGGTGGGTGTGCATGTGCATATGAGGAGGCTGAGTTTGATGTTAGGAATTACCTTCCTTTGCTTTCTACCTCATTCACTGAGGCAGGTCTTGTTAGCCAGCTTGATTATGGGGTCCCCATCTCTGATTTTCAAGACTGGAATTACAGGTGGGGTACCATGCCTACCTGGCATTTACTTGGGGTCTGGGGATCTGACTCTGGTACTATTGCTTATACAGCAAGTGCTTTAGCTGTAGAGCCATCTCTAGACCTCAAGTATCTCCCAGGGAGCTGCCAGTAATAATGTGGCAGAGATGCAACATGGGTGTCAAGCCTTGTTTAATTTGGTAGTTGTATGTTTGTTTGAGACAGGTCTTATTATGTCCTCTAGTACAAAGAGCCTATAAAAATGATAACATGGCCATTTTATGACACTATGTCTGTGGTTGTTACTAAGGAAACAACATTCTCGCCATGAACATTTTCTCGCCAGAACAGACATTGTTCTGTGGTGGAGACAAACTGCCCCTGACAAAGATATCTGCCTTGTCCTGGGTCTGGGTTGTGAGATGAACCCTTTTGAGGTCTTAGTCTGTTTTCCTGCGGCACACAAATCACCAGAGGCTGGACACTTTAGAAAAAACAGGAGTTTGTTGAGATCCACTCTGACGGCTGAACCTGCAAGATGAGTGTCACCATTTTTTTTTTTTTTTTTGGCTCTGCTGGGATTCTCTGGTCACATCACAATATGGGAGACATGTGAGAGGGACAGATGGCAAGGTGGAACAGCCTTACTTAAAAAAAAAATCTGACTTATTTTAGATTCCTGAAAGTGTACATGCCTGATTCTTCTTCCCACTCAAACTTCATGCCTATGGAAATGTCTTCTTACTGGGGACTAAACCCTTTCCCTTGGGAAATGCCTGCAGCAGCCAACAGTGAGGCTTTGACAACAGTTATGGTCAGAAGAAGCAGAAATAAACAAAACATGGTGACAGGACAGCATGGAACAATGTGAACTAGGAGTGCCGAGGGGGAGAGAACAGGCCCTAGACTGACCCGCATCTCTGGTTTCTCAGTGATGGATGTGGACACTTAGTTCCCAGACAGCATTTGTTTAGTTTTCTGTCTCAGAAGTCTGTGCAAATTTTTTTGTGTGTGTGTGTGCGTTTTACTCAAGTTGACTCAGACAGGTTCCCAGATGTTAAATCCCTGTCCAACCAACAGTCGTTACTATAGGATGGATGGGATCCATTCGTTACTGGTAAAAGTAGAGGGCATGGGAACCCCCGTGTGTGTGTGTGTGTGTGTGTGTGTGTGTGTGTGTGTGTGTGTGTGTGTGTGATAAAATCAATTTTTGCATTGATTGAATCGGCTCTGACCTCCTACCAGGAGAGAGGGGGGTCTCTGGGGAAAGCACCATGGGTATGAAGAGAACAGGTAGAAGAGATTTTTCTGCTTGCATCAGATCTGAGTCTGTCACACTCACCATCCTGATATGCTTCTGGGAAGCTGAAAAGAAGAAAAGAAGAAATAAGAGGAAGGAAGACAGTGGAGACTGTTGTGTGACATTATTCCTGGGAGGCATGAACCCATTACTCACTTAATACAGGGTAACAATGGCAGGCCAAAGCAATGGTACCACTGAATCTAACTTTACAAACCAATGAATTTATTGGATTCACTGACAGGAGTATGAATAAAGGGATCACTTACAGGAGCACGGATGACTCAAAGACAACTCCATACCCAAAACCCACCCTACCATGGGTGATGACTCAAAATCTAGAACCCTGGAGCTCACTTCAGGACTTCGAGGAAGTTCAGCAGTTGGAATTCTCCTCCTTAGTAATCCTTGCTGCTTATACAGCCTTGTGGGGTAAGGGACCTTGTTAATCCAGTAAGTTACAGGGAGTTCCTGAGACTTGTGAATTACTTTCTTTCTGAGTCTTGCAGAGCTCCTCTTTAGAACTGAGTCTTATCAAGCTCTCTTCCAGGATGGCGTGTTTTGATTCAGAGGACATTGCTACACAAATGGGATGGCCAGGGGATGTTGTCTGCATGATGTCTTAGTGTATGGTGGTGCTTAGGGGACTCAGTGCTATGGAGCCTGAGCAGCCATGTAGGCATCATTAGCCAGAGTAGCACCACCCTGGGCTCCCTGATATGGGAAATGCCACCTTGATATCCTACGTGATCACTATCTTGGTTGCCTATGTGACTGTCCATCACCATGTTTGGTTGGCATCTTTGCTTCCCCAAAAAATTTACCTAATTTTTTATTTATATGTACATACTTGCATCTCTATTTGTGAGTCTGTATATGTGAGTGCAGGTGCTCATGGAGGCAGAGGGGTCAGATCCTCTGGAGCATGATTTATAGATCAGTGTGATGTGCCTACAATAGGTGCTGGGAACCAAACTCAGGCTCTCAGTCACTTGCTCTGCATCCTTCATGCTCCATGTGGCTAGCTGGCTGGTCAGCCAGCCCCAGCAACTCTCTAATCTCTCCCTTCAGCACTAGGATTACAGCCACAAACATGCATTGGAGGAAAAAGCAGCCTCTTTATCAACTGGTCTTGGGAAAGCCAGATTTCCACATGTAAAAGAATGAAACTAGATTTCATCTGTATCAAATTATAAAAAAAACCTCAATTCAAAATGTATCCAAAGCCTACACATAAGTCTTGACAGGTTAAAAGTACCAGAGAAAAATGTGGGGAAAACACTTGAAGATAAGTAGATAGGCAAAGCTGTTCAGAACGGGAATCCAAAGAACAGATATAATCCCAATTATTGACAAAGGGATTGCATAAAATCAATGATCTTGAGATTGGAGAGATGTCTCAGAGGATAACGACCTAAAACAAGGAAACTCAGATGAGTTGGAAACTCCCAATTCCACCTAGTGATAAGAACACTTCCTTGACAAGAAAGTCAACGTCATACGAGAACATACACCAACTCATTTGGCTTTGTAACTGTATGACACACATCTATTGATAAAACTTCCCTCCCCAAAATTCCCCTTTATCCTATAAAGCCCAACCCCACCGCACCGGGACACAGTCTCCACTACCTCAGAGAGACTGCTGACCTTCACTGTTCTGATTACAGCACAGTTCACTTCTGCAGAGGTTGGTCTCCTCTGCCTTTAATTTCACTCTTTTCCACCAATCCCAACCTAACAGTTAAGCACAAAGACTACTTCTTCAGAGTTCCAATGTTTGATTCCCAACCCAGACATGGTGGCTCCTCTGGTACCAGGAAATCTAATGTTTTCTCTGACTTCTGTAGGAACTGCATGCACCTGGTACACGGACACATACACAGACAAAACACCCATATACATAAAACTAAGACTAAATATACCTCATTTTTTTTTTAAATAAAAGAATTCTGCAAAGCAAAGAGTACAATCAGGAGTGTGAAGGGAGACCACAGAGTGAGAAAAAGTCTTTGCCAACTACACACCAGACAAGAGATTTTACACATAGGATATATAAAGAACTGTAGAAATTAAACACCCCAGTATATCATCGACTCAGTAAGTGGACTGCTGAGCTGGATAGAGAGTTCTTGAAAAAGTGTTTAACATCCTTAGCCACCAGGGAGATGCAAATTAGAACTACTTTGGACTCCATTTCACCTTACTCAGAACAGCTTGTCAGTAAGGGGACATTGACAACACGCTAGCAAGGATGTGGGGGAAGGGGAACCCTGTTCATTCCTGTGGGATTGTAAATTTGTCCAAGTGCTGAGGAAATCAGTATGGAAGTTCCTACAAACACTGAAATTAGAATTAGCATGTGACCCATCTCTAAAACTCTTAAGTATAAACCCAAAAATTCTAAGTAAACTTGCTATAAAGATGCTTATTATGCCAGTTTAAATGAGAAATGTACCCAGAGGCTCATGTATTTGGACACTTGATCCTCTATTGGAGGAGCTGTTTTTAGGGACTATCATGGAACCTTTAGAAAGTGGAGCCTTGCTGAAGGAAGTAGGTCACTGGGGATGGGCTTTGAGACTTTCTAGCCTTGCCCCACTTACCTTTATCCTCTATTTTCTGTGTGCAGATGAAATATGATCTCTGTTTTCAGTTCCTGCTGCCATTTCATGCCTTCCTCACTATGATGGACTTTATCCCTCTGCAACTATAAGCTGAAAGAAACTTTCTTAAGTTGCTTTTGGTCATGGTATTTTGTCTCTGCAACAGAAAAGTAGCCAATATGATTATATATTCAGGTGTATTGTTGCACTATTCACAACAACCACGAAAAGGAAGTAGCCTTGATGTTAATGAACAGGCTCATGGGCAAGACGAATATGGTGCCTAGACACAATAAAACTATGCAGCCATGAAGAAAAATGAAATCATGACATTTTCAGGAAAATGAATAAAAACTATTTTAAGTGAAATAAGCCAGACTCAGAAAGACAAATCTTATATGCTTTCTATTATGTGTGGGGTTTAAATTTAAAAGTGTGTGTGTGTGTGTGTGTTTAAATTTATAGACATGTATAGGCCATGAGACTGGAAAGGGGATTATAAGAACAGAGTAGAACATTTTTAAGGCAGTGAGGAACACACAGGACAATGTAACCCACATGAAATGTCAGCAGATTGAAGGGCTAACTTGGGACTCACTTGAGGATAAATAGGAACCAGTTGGAAGTGGTGAATGTGATCATGGGAGAAGCAATCAGGGAGAGGAACAAAAGAAAACAAAATGACACACATAGGTATAGAGATGCCATGATGGATAACTCAGTTCTGGCCCATGTGAGTAAAAAAAAAAAAAAAAAAAAAAAAAAGACATAGAGATATTTAAAAAGGGATACCAACAGCATAATGAATATTTTTCCAGTTGTTTTCAATATGCTAGAGCTGTCTGAGAGGCAACAAATTAGATAAAATAGCTTGAGGCATTTCAAAGTACTCGATTTTGTTGTCCTAGTAACAATGGCATAAACTGTCACTTAGCCCAGCATACTTGACATTTCTTGAGGCAGCCTGCAGGGTCTGCAGAGCAATGGGGGATGTTAAATAATCTGGGGTTGAGCTGTATATTATCGCTGAAAGTCATAGACCTCAGAGGAGGACTCACTGCTGCCATTCTCCTAAATCAATGAAATTCCTCACTAAAGTCTGAATTCTTATCCATATACCCACAGATACTGCTCTCATGCCTCACCAAAGCAGCTTCTTTTTTTAAACAGATGGGGAATACACAGAGATTCACAGCTGGTCAGAGTGCAGAATAAGTGACTATGGACCACCCAGCCCTAATTGATACAACCACAGTGCAACCCTGTGGTGGTATTGTGTTCCCCAAAATATTGTGCACCCTAATAAACTTATCTGGGGTCAGAGAACGGAACAGCCACTAGATATAGAGGCCAGAAAATAGTGGCACACAGGCCTTTAATCTTGGCATTCCAGAGGTAGAGATCCGCCTGGATCTCTGTGAGTTCAAGGCCACACTGGAAGCAGATATGTAGATAGGAGATGGGGTGTTTGGTTTGAGTGGTAGTGGGAGCATAGGAGGAGCTGGGAGAGGAAAGGGTACCAATTACAAAAATATTCATGTATGAAATTCTAAAGCAATGACAAACAGTTAAATGAAAACAGTCTACCTCTCAGCTGTGTCTTTCCATTTCTTGGGCTCACTCACCACCTGTCACCACACTGAATGTCTGAAACAGCGAAGACTTTGTTCATGGTGACTGTTTGTCAGTCAGCACTTACTTGGGCTTGCTCTTGAGAAGGTCACCACTCAAGGCTCATGTTGGAACTGAAAGTCATTCAGTATCTCTAGTCTCTTTTGTAGTATATGGATGTGGCCGAGTCAGTTGTCCCTGTCACTCACTGTGGATGCTTACATGTTATGCACCACTGCTGGTATCTTTTAATTAATTTTTAAGATAAATCAAAATGGAACCAAAATATGTTTTCCTGGATGTGGTCCTAGACAAGTAACTGATACCACATCACTGTGCAATGATACCTGGCAGTAGAATGCTTCCACTGAAGATTTAAAGCCTGTCCAAACATGACTTCTTTTTGAGGCTATGATTGTCTTACAATAAATATAGGAACTCTATATCAAAGCCCATTCTTCCAAACCCCAACTAATCTTTCTTTAGCAATACATATTGTGTGTGTGTGTGTGTGTGTGTGTGTGTATGTGTGAATATGTGACAATAATTAAAGAAAAAGAGGCAATGAAGTTGAAGTAGACAAATGGAGGGCATATGGGAGTGTATGGAGGGTGGAAAAATGAGGAGGAAATGACACAGTTGTGTTATAATTTCAAAAGATACTTAAAAATCATTCAACTCATTTCCCCATCTTTCTCTTGGCACTAGACTCCCAGTTATACCACAAAGGCCCTGTTTCTGAATCTTTACCCTTCACCCTCTTCTCTCTCCATTGCTGCCAATCATCCACATTCACCCACATTCTTGTTCTTTCTTTTAGGTTCAGAGTTCCAAAAGCTGATTACTATTTTTCTTTCTGGACAGTTAAGTGTATTTAAATGAAAATCTTAAAATGATTTGACCCCAATGACCAAAATTATATAGGGTAGTGAGAACCTTCAGCTTCTGTTTCAATTTGTGCAGTAAGAAATATTCATTGGAGGTGTTGGAGATTCAGGACTGGAGAGATGGCTAGGTTGTTATGAGCACTTGTTGTTCATGTAGAAGGACCTGGGTTCAATTCCCACCACTTACATGGTAACTCATAGGCATTAGTAACTCCAGTTTCAGGATGCATGTGATTGCAGACATATGTATGCTTAAGACGTACATATAAAATACATAAATCTAAAAAACTTTAAGGAAAACAATGATGTTGAAGATTCAAAATACTAAATAGAAGCTTGCCTATGTGCTGCAGGAAGGGGGTAATTTTCTTGAAAAATAATGAAGGCTCTGGTTCTTGTCTGTCTTGAGCATCCTTCTCTTTATTTTTCTGTACCCTGAAACACACTGATGTAAACACCCCTTGCTGTTGTGGAAAAATATTTTTGTACACTGTGAAGATGTGTTGCTCTCATTGGTTTAATAAAAAGCTAAATGTCCAATGGCTAGGCAAGTAGAGGTTAGGCAGGACTTGTGGACAAGAAGAGAGCTCTGGGATGAAGAAGGGCAGAGTCACCAGGAGACAGGAGACATGGCAAGAAGCAAGATGGTCACGCTGTGATGAGGAAAGATACTGAACCACATGGTATATAAGAAATACTGGCAAATTTAAGTTGTAAGAGCTTGCTAGTAACAAGCCTTAACTATCAGTTGAGCATTTATAATTAATAATAAATCTCTCTGTGGTTATTTGGGAACTGGCTGGTGAGACAGAAAATACTGCCTACACTCTTTGTCTGGGAGAATCTGACATCAGGAATCTCAGTGGAGTTGAAACATGTCACTCAGTATTGAACTGGAGTGGCTGAATCCTGTCCCTCAGACTTCCTCATAGATAGACTGCCTCAATTGTTTCATTATGGTCACAAAAGCTGACTAATAAAATTGACTTTGCGACTTTTATATTTTCCTTTATGTCCTAAATCTGGCAACTTTGGACAGTAGCACCAACTTGTGCATCTATGAACTGTCCCTCTAGATTTAAGGCAAAGGAGGCCCTAATACTTCCTGAGCACCCAGTTGGAACATGTTAGTGAGGAACATCTAAGCCATTTGAATATTTTCATTGAATCTCACTTAAATAAACCCTACTAAATTCCAGATCAGGTTAACACGATTCCTCCAAGTGAGTAATGTCATCATCAGAACGACACAGATTGTCACATCTTCTTATGGTCTATGTTTAGTCAAAGACCCTGCCAGAAGCACACATGAGCTTCAGGCTGCTTTAACAATTCCTGCTTTCCACATCCTCTTATGGCTTTAGAACTAAGGCCAACAGGAGGAAGTTGGGGTTCAAGTCAGGAGAACAGAACCCAAACTCCATCCTGACATGTCTCCACTCAACCCACATCACTCTCTGTCCTACTTTTCAGTTTCAGTCCTGGCCCCTCCTGTCTTCATTATTAGTGATGCTTCTACCTGAGGACCGCCCTCTACCCACCTATGAAACACACCCTTCCCTGAATCCTCATCTCATCTTTAATGAACTCTGTTCATACTTCTCCTTTCCGCATTGATGATAGCCACAGACAAGCTGCCAGGGATTCTGTTCCCTCCTACTGAGCTAGACTTCAAAAGAATTTACCTCATGGAAAAACAACATGCTGTAGGTGGCACATTGAAAAGAAGTCTAAGGCATCTCCCTGGTAATAAATTGGTCTCTGTGAACGAGATTAATTGTCAAACACTTTCATTTCCCACATGTTGGTTTCCATCCTCACCCATCTGCAAGCTGACACAGAGGGAGTTTCATTTGATGGTGGGAATACGAATCGGAGGAAGCAGGCAGACATTCATGGGATTGTGTGCATTGGTTACTTGTCCTGGTCACCTTGTTGACTGGCCCCAGACAAGGGAGGTCATGAAGAATTGTTCTAGTATCTACCCAGAGATCGTGACCTGCCAGTTTCAGGAATGGAATCTTTTGTCCGTCCTCCACTGTGTTCCATCTGTCTGTCTGCTGCCCAGGTCATTTCCTCTGTCTCTTTCCATCCTTTGTGAATGGATCTCCACTTTCATCACTTTGTTTTTCAATTTTTCTCAGCCTTCAAAAGGGAAGTGAATAGTTGATCTTTGCTGCCTGTTCTAAGAGGAACTTGAGGAAGGGAAAGTGCATACTTCCGCCACCTTGAAGATATCTACCACCATGCCCTACCCTCCATGATGGACTATAGTATATCAAACTGGTTCCCACAATTATGTAGGAGGGTCACAACCAAAGAGAGATATTGGAACATTGGGTAAAAATTCTTTCATGGTGTATAAAGGACATCCCTTGAGACCTTGATGATACAATCGAGTGTCTTGAATCACTAATTTTCACTCCTTGTAAGGTCTGAAGCTACGAACAGGCAGTATCTCAGATGTGGCCCTGCACAGGGATCAAACATCTTCCTAAAGGAAATCCACAGGATGCAGATTTTGGAGAAATGAATGATATTTCAGAAATCATTTGGCTTCAGGTTCAGGCCTCTTTTTTATTTTTATTTAAAAGGTTTTTTTTCATTTTACTTACCAACCACAGTTGCCCCTCCCTCCCCTCCTTCTGTTACCCCATCT